TGACCTGCTTTATTGCAATACGCACTCTATTGCAGTGGTCTGGAACCAAACCCACAATATCTCTGAGGTATGCCTGTATTTCTCAATGTCTGATAGGGCTAGGTTCCTCTCCTTTCTGTTTTTTTTTTTTTTTTTAAACTCAGGGTTAACATAACTATTCATGTATATTGATTCTTTCGTGTAAATTTTTAAAAATATCTACTGAGTTCCTAAAAAAAGTATAACTATGATTTTAATTGGGATTTAATTGAATGTAGATGTTAATATGAAAGGAATTGACATATTAAATTAATCCACCTAAGAACATTAATATACCTTTATTTATTCAGATCAACTTCTGCCTTTTATTAGAGGTTTAAAATGCTTTTCTCCATAGGAAGGTTATATATTTTAAGTTACTTCCTAATCTCATTATGTTGTGGTTATCTGCATGGTATCTCTTTTGACTACATTGTTTATTTTTATTGGTGTAGAGAAATGCTGCTAAGTTTTGTATGTTGAATTTATAAAAGATTACAAAACAAAAACACTGGTTCTTTGCAAAGTTAATAAGATAAATAGATTACTAGCAATCTAATAAAAAATGAGTTAAGGCAGAAAAATAAAATATAAAACAATCTAGAAAAAATAGCCTAGCTGGTGTGGGTCAGTGGTTGAATTTTGACCCAGGAACCAAGAGGTCAAAGTTCAATTCCCAGCCAGGGCACATGCCCAGGTTTGAGCTTGATTCCCAGTGGGGGCATGTAGGAGGCAGCCAGTCAATAATGTTTCTCTATCATCAATGTTTCTATCTCTATCTCAGTCCCTTCTCTCTCTAAAATCAATAAAAACATTTTTTTTAAAAGAAAAAAGAACCACAGATCCAAGAACACAGATGGGGTAAAGAATTATTAAAATAACATAGTTTTGTAACAGGTATATATTTCTAAATATAAATATCAAAATTATCATAAGAAGAAAGAGAAAATAAGAATTGGACAATAAGTATTTTTAAACAATTGAAATATTAAATATTCCTCCCCAAATAACTCCAGGCCCAAATGGGTTTACAGATATCTCCCAAATTTCCAAGAAACAGTTAGTTCCTATTTTATTTAAATTATTGTAGGAAATGCAAAGAGTAAAAGCTGGGGCCACAGCTTATTTACCAAGGCCAAAGTAATCTTGCTGCTAAGCAAGGTAAATACGACACAAGAACAGAAAAGTGCAGGCTCGTTACCTTACACATGTTATCCTAGGTATGCAAAGATAGCTCAGTATCAGAAGGAAGTATGGCTGTGTGCCAATAAAACATTATTTATGGATGCCTAAAATTTGAATTTTATACAATTTTCATTGATCATGAAATAGTATTCTTTCTTTGATTTTTTTCAACTGTTTAAAAGTATAGAAATTGTCCTTAGCTTTCATGCTGTACAAATACAGTGGTGGGCCAGATTTGACCTGCAGAATATAATTTGCCAAATCCCTGATCTAACTACACTCAGTGATAGAATCAACACACTAGTAAAACTAAATTTGCCTTAAACTTCATATTTGCTTCCTCTTAGGAAATGAGGGGGAAATCAAATCCCTTTCCTTGGTACACCCCTGCAGGCACTTTGTGTTGCTGTATATTGACACCAACTCAGCCATATTGCTTTCCCCACCAGTCTTCGCTAGCCCCTTAATACTTTTGGGATCTTTTCTTATTCATAATTCATTCCTTTTGCCATTGATCATATTGGAAGTGCCTAACACGTATCATTTATTCCAAGCACCCTATTCCACTTCTGTCTTCTTCATTCTCACATAGCTTAGCCTCATATTTTACCAAGAAAATAATGTTCAGAATGTTCGTAATTTTTCAGCTGACTATTATTCAACAAAATACATCTTAAAGTGAATAAAAACAAAAGCACACATTGGGGAAAAGCATTTGTGATCATATATAAATATGTAAGATTAATATCCAAACTATATATTTTTAAACTCTATTAATTAAATAAGAAAAAGACGACCCAATAGCAAAATAGACAGAAGATTTGACAACATTTTATAGATGTAGAAACTTTAATCGCCAGTAATGTGAAAACAATATCAGTCACATCAGGAAAATGCAAATTAATCACAGAGATAACACTTCCCACCCACCAGATTGACAAAATTTAAAAAAACAGAAGATAAGTGTATGGATTTGTAACTGGAATATAAATTGGTACAACTACTTTGGAAAATAATTTGGCATTTTCTAGAGAAACTAGTGATTACATGTGTGTGCCAGGTATTACATGCAAGGATATTCACAGAAGCAGTGTTCGTCATTGTGCTTTGGGGCCATAATTAAGTAAAATAAAGGTGACTTGGACACAAGCATCATGATACTACGACAGCGGATCTGATAACTGAGAAGGCCACTAAGTAGCTGATGCCCAGAGAGCACCTGCAGTGTAGAGATGCTAGACAAGGGAGATTTCCACGGAGATCTCATCACACTGCTCAAATGGGCATGCAGTTTAAAACCTATGAATTGTTTATTTCTGGAATTTTCCATTTAATATTTTCAGACCACAGTTGACCACAATAAAGAAAGAGAAAACATAAAACAATATATATTTTTTACTTGTACATACATACAGATGTATGTGTATGCAGTAGTTGAAACCACAGCAAGTGAAACTGTAGATAAAGGGAACTTATGTATATACTAGTGGCCCGGTGCATGAAATTTGTACAGGTGGTGGGGGGGTGTCCCTCAGCCCGGCCTGCACCCTCTCCAATCTGTGACCCCTTGGGGGATGTCCGACTGCTGGTTTAGTCCCGATCCCATAGGACCGGGACCACTAGCTCCTAACCACTCACCTGCCTGCCTGCCTGATCACCCCTAACCATTCTGGATGCTGGCCTTCTCTCCCCCAACTGCCCCCCTTTGCTGGCCTTATCGCCCCCAACTGCCCCCCCAGCTGGCCTGCTTGCCTCCAACTACCCCCCTGTCGGCCTGCTTGTCCCCAACTGCCTCCCCCACCAGCCTGCTTTCCCCCAACTCCCCCAACTTGCTGGCCTGATCGCCCCCAACTGCCCCCTCACTGCTGGCCTGATTGCCCGCAACTGCCCTCCCCTCCTGGCTTGATCGCCCCTAACCGCCTCTGCCCCGGCCCCGCCATCATGTCTTTGTCCGGAAGGACGTCTGGAAGGTCTCCCGGTCTAATTAGCATATTACCCTTTTATTAATATATATAGAGGCCTGGTGCATGGGTGGGGTCCGGCTGGTCTGCCTTGAAGAGGGTTCTGGATCAGGGTGGGGGTCGCCTTGGGGGGTGGGGCCGGCCTGGGTGAGGGGCTGATGGCTGTTTGCAGGCTGGCCATGCCCCCATCGGGGTGAGGGTCCCTGCTGGGGGGCATGGCCGGCCTGGACGAGGGGCTGAGGGCTCTTTAGGGACAGTTTACAGGCTGGCCAAGTCCCCGGCTTTGTCCCGAAGGACCTCTGGAAGGTCTCTGGAAGGTCTCCTGGTCTAATTAGCATATTACCCTTTAATTAGTATAGATAGCATATAACTGTTTTCATCATATTAAACTTAAAACGTTATGGATGAGTCAGGGGTCTCTTTTGAGTAGTATTCCTAAACCAGTGCTCTTTTCAAATGTAATCCTATTTTGGTTATATATCCCCCAGATTTTTGCTTCTACATTACATGCATGCATACATACATACATACATGTGCATGTGTGCCTACATGTATATGCATACATCTATAAAAATATAAGGGTAATATGCTAATTAAACCAGACATCCTTCCAGACGAAGCTGGGGCCGGAGGGAAGCTTGGGTTCTGGGTGCGTGCCGGTGGCCGGAGGGAAGCCAGCCCAGGTCCCTAGTGCCTGCAGGCAGCCAGAGGGAAGCCGGTGCCGGTGGGGGAAGGAAGGCCTACTCGTGCACGAATTTCGTGCATTGGGCCTCTAGTATGTATATATGTACTATTAAAAGAATATATATCGTTTTATGTTTTATCTTTCTTTATTGTATAAATTGTATGTTTTACGTTTTTTCTTTGTCAATTCATATAGATTTATATTTTTCTTCTGAATAGATTTCTCTGTCAAGTAATTATAAATTTGGTGTCCTCAAATAATTTATCTCTGTTCTTATTTCTATATATTTGACCATTCTAGGGTATGTAGACAGCTTTTTCTAGAAAAATAGTTTTAAGGCCTTTCAATCTATTAGATGGCATTCTATAATGTAAATATTTCTTACTTTATGATTTCCAAATGTGCTTTTCAAATCATCCACTTAGATACATTATTATATATGCTGTGTTAATAAGGTCAAGTGTTGAATCAGATGGGTCTGAGGCTTCTTGTAATGGTGATTCTCTCATTCTTGGAAGTGCACATTATCTAAAAATCTTTTCTGAAACAAACATCAAGTTCATCTTCTGTTTTTGTTAGATATCACCATAGTGGTCTCCAAATAACCTTAATAAGCAATTTTATATGCTAGATTGTAAAATGGAATCGTCAAATATCCTGATATTTTATATGACATTTAAGAATTTATTTTACTGAAAGAAATAAAATGATTAATATTAAAATGAATAATTTAGAAGTTACATTAAATTGTGTAGTTTTTGTATTATCATTTATAATTATCAATGTTTTGTTATGTATGTTTATAAAATGCTGATGAATTATGGCCAGGTCAATGCCCAGATGAGAGATTATGTACAATAATGAATTATTTATTTTTATGAACATATTTTTTTGTGTCAAGCAACATGTAGCATAAATATGTATTTTGTGTTGAATAGAGAAGCCTATTTTAAGTTAAGTGGGTAAATGTAGTATGATCAACTGTAACTTTTACCAATCACATGGAAATTCCTTTATAAAAAATTTATAAAAAGAGAATGATCTATGACTAACTCAGTTTTGATGAAATGAAGAGATCTTAAGTTAAAGCCATGCAGTCTCTCTAAAATGAATGACTGTGCCCTTTTGTTTCTCCCTCCTATCTCATCCAGGTGCAGCAGTAGCAGGCATTTACCGAGTAGCAGGGAAGAACATGGCCCCTTTGGAAGCCCTGGTGTGGGGCGTTGGACAGACTGTACTGACATTGATCATCTCCTTTTCAAGGATCCTCGCCACACTTTGAGGTTTCTGTGGAAATGTCTGACCTTACATAAGGAAACAGATGTACAGATTCTCTGAAAATGGCATTGTTAGCAAGTGGGAATTAAATTATACAGGAATCCTGGAAGGAGCAGGTCGGAGCATAAGGCCTTGAGCTGTGTGGAAAGATTGCCCTCTGGTGTTCAAGTGATTGCACTACCGCACTGCACCTTACGTGCCTCCATCCCAGGCAAGGCGAATTACACTCTGAGAAGCTACAAGAAAACGCACCTTGTTTAGCTGCCAATCAGGTTAACATTGGTGTTGAATCATCGTTTTTAACAGTGTTGTGTTCAAGTTACAGGGACATTTTGAAGAATTGATATATGTGCCAAACTCTCTTCTTTTTTTTTATAAATTGGTCATGTGACAGTTTGCAAGTGTAAATGTAGATGAGACAAGTGCTGTGAAAGTGTTTGACATGAATTCAGGTCACGTAGTGAGACTTTGTAACTAAATCCTGTGTGAGTGCCGAATACCGAATTGTTTACTAGGAGATAATTTATTTTATTTTTAATGTTGAACTTTTCTGGGATTTAGGGCTTTAATATGGTTAGGCATTATTGTTATTTAATTTATGTGGAAAATAATATTAATGGAAAACTAGCTAAACTCTTTTAAGGACTCAAAGTAGATCTATAGGGTGCATCCTTTTCATGAACATAAATAATACTTTTAATAGTTTCCCTCATACATAAATGTTCTATTGATATGAATTAAAAAACTTTATCGGTAACACACATTGATTGTAGTTTGTGTGTCATAAAAATATTATTTGAAATTTTTCTTATAAATTCTGTTAGAAAACAAGTCTGAAATGCATGTTGCATTCTTTGACCCTCTAAAGAAAGTTTTGCCCTGTGTCTCATGGAGAAAACATCTTCACAGCTGTTCCCCAGTGGGGTTCTATGACTTGTTGCCTATGTCTTGATTTTTGACAAAGTGTAAGCAGTCTTTAATTCTGGAGTATTAACTATATTTAAAGAGTGGCCTAAATTAGGCTGTGAAAACAAAAAGCCTCATTTGTAGATAAGTAACAGTAAGTTATCTAGGGAGATTAATAAACTATCTTACTTTGGGTATGTGGTAACAAAATTTTACTTAGTAAGAATTGAGGAATTTAGTAAATCTGGCAGTCCATCTCAGTGTTTAAAACAGTACTGAAATATATTTGAGTGATTCATTTTAGTTCAGTTCTTGATTTATGCTAAGTTTATTAGAATGTGATGGCATTTATTAGAAATGAAAAAGTCTTTAGTATAAAATATTTTAAGAGATTTTGGCAACATATACTTGTTTTTAAGACTACAGGAAGTAAGGGAAACAGAACCTGCTTGAACTTATCCCCTCCTGACATTTTTTAAAACCAGGTACAATTATAAATGTTCTTACTCAAAGGAGAGCTATTGCAGAGAATGCTAAGTGAAGGACAATCCAGAAAAACATTGGCGTGCTTCAGCCTTGCTGCTTTAGAAACTGTTGGGTAACAAGTAGGTTCCTATTAGGTCCCATTCAAATTTAAGGCCTTTGCTACACAGGTCACTTTTCTTTCACCAAAAAAATAGTGAGGATTTGGTGGGAGAGGAGAAGCTACTTTTACCAGTAGGAAAGCCAATTTGGGGAATTTTCTAATTCTGTGGCTTGGAAATTTTTAAAAAAATAACAATTAGATCTATGCACTTAGAGATCTTTGAAGTAAATCTTAAAATTGATTTTAAATATGTATAACCCTGAAATTAATTTCATGTGTTCTTTATATTTTTGATGTTTTCCAAATTAAATTTAGGCATAAGTTTTCCAAATCAATTTGATTTATCCTTTTCTGTTAGTCTTGAATTCAGTGTTCTTTCTTTATGTTGGCTATTCTGTCAATAATTTAAAGTGTTTGTATTCTTTGAGAGGAATTACCAATAACATATTGAAGATGTACAAAATGAAAAATTTTAACATATAGTTATGTTGTGATTTAAGAAAGTTATCCTGGTAAGGTAATATGGAACATATGGTTCAGAATCAAAAATTAACCGGAAATAACTTGGTACATAAATATGTGAATGCATGGACCAAAGAGATTCAAACTCCCATTTTTACTCTTAGAATGGAAGTATAATTTGATATATAATAATTAGTTTGTAGAGTGTCCTAATCTTATTATCAAGTTGCTTTATATTATGAAGTGTGTGTGTGTGTGTGTGTGTGTGTGTGTGTGTGTGTGTACTTTTAATTTGTAGGGGAATTCTTGTTTTGTTTTTGCTGTTTTCAGCTCTTTCCATTGGGATTTTGTGCAACTGTCACTCTTTTGATGTTTTGAAATATAGTTGAATGGTGTGCATTGATGAAATTGTCTTAATAGATATTTCTATGTTGAGATTTTTTTTAAAGTTAGTGGTTTTCCTACAGATACAAGAAACATGTAATGATATATATCCACATACACCTATATATCATTATATATGTCCGCACAAAGCTGCCATGTATGAACGCAGTCTAGCTGGACAGCTGCTGTTCCAGGAACACATCCATGCTCTAGTGGAGAATTTGTTCAGCTGAATGATCTTTTAAATGGGTTTGAGATTTTTTAATTTGGGGAGATTTTTCTTGGTTTAATAGTGCTGGAGACCCTTGTTTTGATATGACAAAAGCTCTTATTGATGTATTTGCGTTACACTTCTTTAAAATGTGTATGTGATTTAGCGGTAAATTCTCTTTGATTAAAGCAGGAAGGATAGAGGAAATCATCTGCAGTTTACACATCTTTATTTTTTTTCATGTGTAGTAAAGTATTGCTGACAATGAAATCAGTTCCCCAAAGAAGAGACTCCTATATGCCCAAACTAGTTATTATTTAACATCCTGGTTAGAAATGCCCATAGGCCAGAGTTGAGTCAGGGGACCTCATCTAAACTATAAATAACGCTGAAAACCTTTAAATGAAGGAGGTGCAAATAATCTGCCCATGGGATGATTCCATGGGTTGTCTAGAATAAGGAAAGTCCTAAATGATGGCTATATTCAGTGCTTGCAGCTTAATTATTCTTACTGTAGACCTCAGTGTTTACCAAACAGTGTTATAGTTTGTAACCCAATGTACTAAGTGTTTGCAGCATTTAGTATTTCCATTCCCCTAAAAATTGTAAGGGTCTTATTTGTACTTTAAATGAGAAGTAAAGAAATGAGCTGCCCTGTATATCATGTATTTGTGATGTAAGGAACAAGGGTAATTTAAAATCAAAGAATATTGTTGGGAAAAGTCTTTAGAGAACTTTAATTAAGGTGAGGAGAGTGGGGCTGACATGTTAACATGCCCAAGCAGACACTTACACCAACTAATTCAATTGTTTAAATATTTTTGATGGACCTACTATGTATGTACAGAGCTGTATGGAGTATTTTCTATAGGAAGTACAAGGATGACTAAGATAGGATTCCTGCCCTTGAGTTCACCAAAAGCTAGCAAGATGGTTTTAAATCCTAAAAATACCAGAACAACATTTTGCTTCCTGATTCTAGTTGAGAGTTCAAGTCTCCCCCCCCTGCCCCAACCTCAAATTCTGATTTTCCCAGTTTATCTACAAAATGGAGTTTCGGTAACTGAGTTACCATCACTGTGACAGAGAGATAAGAATACTAGGCTGTAAGCCAGAGACATAAATGTGAACCCAGGCCCTGTTGCTTGTCAACTTTTTGTTCATGGATGGCAAAGCAGTAAATGTTCAACAATAAATGATAGTCCATAGAATTTTTTAAAGTATATTTTGCAGTGCTATTTAATATGTTGTTTTGTAAAATACATTTGTCTTCTTTCATTTCCACATTTTCTCTACATTTATTTTAAGAAGGAAAATTAACATAACCCTTATAATCTTGCTTCCTTTACCTCCTCTTTACCTCTTTATTTTTTTAAAATCAGCAGATACTCATCTAGGAGCATTTTTAGGGGTTGGTGGTAGTAAAAATGGCCAAAGCAAGCAGGATTAATTACAGGTTGTGTTTACCACTGGTTAAGATAGAAAAAGGTAGAGGTAGCCAATATTTACTCCTTTACCTTATCCTGCTACTTTCCTTGGATTCATTCAACCAACATTCATTGAATCTCTACTACATGCAACTTACCATGTGTTTAAGGATGAAGTGTCTCCTCTTCTGCCCCATGGGTGTTGGCTTCACAGCACAGTGCAAATTCTATAGAGAAACAAAAGAGTGTCTACCAAGTCCTTCCTTCATGGACCAAGGTGCTTCAGCTACTGTTCATTTGCTTTTACTTAAAAAGAAATACTGTTATTTTACATTTATGTCCATTTTATAATTCAAGAAGTAACAAAATGCTAAGAATATTTTCTCAAACTACTTCACTTTTGCTATTACAATTTTTCTCTCTCAGAAAATCTTAATTGGAATCTCTTCAAAGAGTTGTTATTTGTTTTTAAGATATGAAGAATGCAGAAAGTTATTTAAGAAATCCAAGTAGGCCTAGATTGCAGAGAAGTTTGGCAATACTTGGGTAACTGGGTAAATTGCTGTTTCTTTTCCTAAACAAAGTGAGACTCTCAGTGGTTAAAATTGACTACTTGTCAATTTTAATTTCCCTCAAGGGTCATTCCTTTTTGTAACATCTTAGCGGTAGACTCTCCAGGATAAGAGGGACATTATTTAGTTAAAAATGATGAAAAATTTCAAACATGTAGTAGCATTTTTGTAGCAGAGGGAAGTTTAAAGATAGGAAGACACATTGGAGGGGTGACACACAGAACAAAGGCATATCATGAATACTCAGTATTCTGTGAACAATTCCCCCTTGTGTTAAGAATATAAACTACACTGTGTGCATATGTGTCCTGCATGTTTACAGAATGTGGGGTTTCTTTACCTGTGAGACAACTTCCACAAAGCTTTGAAATCATTATGCGCGCGCGCGCGCGTGGTGTGTGTGTGTGTGTGTGTGTGTGTGTGTGTGTTGTGTGTGTTTTGCTGGTAGGTTTGCCCTTCTAACTTAAGGATCTCTGTTCAGTGTAAGAATACAGTGCTTTTGAGGTTGCTGAATAAATTATCTAAAAATGTATCTGAATTTGTTTTAGAGGAAGTAGTGCTTAATATATAAAGTATTTTCAATAATGTGGAGATGTATCAGTTAATACTTTATTAAATTAGTGGAAACACCCAAATTTCTGAGTGAACTGAACTGTGAACTGTAACCACCTCCTCTCCTGCATTTAGAGGACTCATCTTCACATTCTTTACATTCATTGCCTATATGTTGAAGCTATTTATTATAATCCTTTCTTGATTTGAGAACCAATTTAGCAATTTCTTAAAAATCTCCTCCCTCCACATAACTGTCATATGTTAGGGTTTAAACATATGTACAGTTTGTTAATAGAATGAGAAGTGCTGGTTTTGAAGAGAATGTGCTAGACACTAATGAGACAAATACTAAGGAGAGTCAAGAGAGCATGAACCTTTAACATATTGTTTTAGATTCTTTAGTGCACCTATATGCATTTTCCTTCAGAGGTAGCATGACTGCCCCCTTTTTGGGAATGCATTTAGAAATGTAACTGAAACTGGAAAGCAGTATAATATAAATATATAGAAAGAGGAGCTATTAACTCATAATTACCATAACAGGAACACCTTTGCTCCAAAATTGTTATATATTGGGAAATTCTAAAAAGCATCATTTTTTAGAGCCTTGTATAAATGAATGTTAAGTTGATAGTGTTACTGATGATGAAAAGTTTTCTTTGTGTTTAAATTAGTGTATTTGCACAGCATCACTAAGTATCTTTGGGAAGGAACATTTTAAAGTTTTCTCCATAGAAAGCAAAATAGAGGCACTTGATTGAATAGTAATAAAAATGATTTACTTTGAATAATGAATGAGTTGATAGTGTAATTGTTGACACTTTCTTAGTATTTGTGATATTGGATGCATTTACGATGGAGGAATTTTTGTATATTTTGGCGTTCTGCACACACACACGCACACACAAGCTCTACACATTGAGATGAACAATATGAAGTTCCACAGTATTTCATTTTAGTCGTATAACTTGGTAAAATTCATATGATTCTACCATAAAGTATTAACTCCTGACTCTAGTCATTTTATGATGAGAGAATCGATTTTATCTTGAAGTTAACCAACTAAAATGTTTTTATTTAAAGATCAAAAACATAGTTTACCTGATAGGTATTAAAAGACTCTCTTTCAAATTGTAACTCTCAGACTACTGATGAATCGTTTAGTAAACCACAGTACCATTTTTAAAGCTAAATGATGTCTCAGTACCTTGGAAGTTAAGATACTTTTTCAAAGTGAATCTAGTGAGATTCAGGATTGGTACACCTGTTAATGGGGATTCAGCATTAAGGAGAGTGTAATAGAATCACCTGTGGTTTAATAAAAATCAGTTATTTTGCTATTGACGATGACAGATGACGACTTTCATTACATTTTCATGATGTGGTATTTGTCTCTCTTTTTTAAAAAGTAAGTTTGAAATGGGAAAAATGTAGTCAAGACAAAAGTGGGATTTTAAAATTTAATTTTGTTGTAAACTAGAGATTCTAGTATAAACAGTGTTAGTTTTATATTGTAGTACAAGGGCGGACATTTTATGTAACCTTTAGAAATATGTTTACCATCAGGGATTTATTTTTGCTATCCAAATACTTAATGTACTGTGAAGCTTAAGGACAGGAGGAATAAGCGCTAGAGGGGTAATGCACAAAAACAAAGGCCTATCTGATGAAGTACCCTACGTTATGTGAACACAATTTCCCCTTCTGTTAAGACTATAAACTACACTGTATGAGTATGTGTACTGCATGTTTACATAATACAGCTTAATTTTGAAGGATTATTTTAAAAAAACTATGTTTATGTATAATACCTAACAGTCTGTAAATATTGTATACTATTGATTTTTAATTTTATATAAGCAATTTTTTAATTTCCCAATTCATGTACAAATCTCATTGTATATATAGCATAATTTCCTGGAGAACACAAATTTTGCGGTGAATTGTATTATTTTAACTGGTAAGCATCAGGTTAGCCTTAGCGATCTTGATTTTTGTTTTAAATTATTTTTACCGCTCATTTTCTTCAAAGGGCAGCAATAAACATATGCAAGTTCTTTTTGATTATAGACAGTTGGTCTACAAAGACGAGACCTAGGTTCCAATTCATGGCTTTAAAAAAAAGATGCACAATTAATATCATCCACTGTCTAATCACAGGACCATTTCTAAGGTCCATGTGTGTTTCTCCTCTTTGTAACATACAGGGTGATTCTACTGATACACACAAAACAACTGTTAAAAGTGAATCCAGCACTTAAATGTCATAACACAGAATTTATTGGATTAAAAATTTGTAATATACAGTATTTTAATAAAGTTTCTGTATTCTATTTCATGCACTTATATATAAATAAATCTGTCTTTAAAAGCTTTATGGGATGTGTGATTCTTGATAACATCTTTTCAGTTCTCTATGAACTCCAAGGTTCTCTATGAACTCCATATGTTCTCTATGAACTCCAAGGTTCTCTATAAATTCTCTATGAACTCCAGTGTTCTCTCTCACCCTTTTGTCAGTTTTTCTGGGGCAGTTTGGCATAGGGCTTTTGGAGGTAGTGCTGAAATGTAATTATGAAATCTGAAAGACCAACTTGGCCTAGTTTATAGTTTTTCCTGGGACCAGTCACAGGACACATAAGCGTCCACCTCTAAGAGTTACTGTTTTAAACAGCATGCTATCGCCCTAGCCGGTTTGGCTCAGTGGATAGAGTGTCAGCCCTCAGGTGGAAGGTTCCCGGGTCTGATTCTCGTCAAGGGCACATACCTTGGTTGCAGGTTCCCAGCCCTGGTCAAGGTGCATGTAGGAGGCAACCAGTCGATGTGTCTCTCTCACATCGATGTCTCTCTCTCCCTCCCACTCTCAAAATTAACTGGAAAAATATCCTCAGGTGAGGATTAACAAAATATAAAATACTTAAAAAGCATACTATCACTTTCAATAATAAATGACTACTGTTTATCAAGTGCTTACATTAGACACTTACTGTAATCCTTCAGGTTAAGTGTTTTATCCCTACTTTACAGGTGAAGAATTTGAGGTTCTGAGAAGATGAAAACTTCTCAAGGTCACATAGGCAATAATGCTTATTTGAGGTTTTCTTACTCTTACCTGTGTTTTTCCCCCACTATGCTATGTGAGGGGTTTCTACAGAGTATTCTGGGAACTCTTATCTGTAATGAGATAAGGTCTCATTATTGAAGAGAAGATGGAATTATGGGGATTGAAAATGATTAACTCAGGATTTGTATTGTCAAATTTATGCATAGTTTAAATTTTTGTTAGGGATTTCTAAGGGATGGTACTAATTACTCAACGAAGCTTAGCTGTTCTGTCTGAGAAAAGGGTGGTGCTGACTGTAAGTGGTACAGCCTTGCTGGAATAAAGACTAGCTTAACTTTTAAAACTGGGCAGGCAAAATGGAAGTGAATGTTTCTTCATATACATTGACAGTTTATGTAATTACTAAATTGAAGTGTATTTCCTTTTTTTCTAGGTAACTGTTTCAGCCATAGAATTATACAATTATTAAACAATTTTTCTTCCTATGAGTCTGAAAAAGTTCTTGAACAAAATATAAATCTTGAGATTAAAAAAAATTTCTATTTTGATTCTACCACCTTTGGCCCTTGAAGTAATATTTTGTAAATTTTTGTAATAGGTAATCTATCTGGGTATTTTGACATTTACTGAGCATTGAAAAAATGCATCAGATTCCAGATTTAGTGCCACCTATGTAGACAAGACCAGTATGAAAGGTAATCTAGAAGAAAGATGCTCAGGTTTCACACTGAGCTTTATGATGCAGAATGAGTCCTGGTCATATTTACTGAATATGTACTTGTCTCTGTTTAGAAGTTAAATTGTTAATTCATAACATAGTACCTAAAGTCCTATATAATAAAAGCCTAATGTGCTAAATGTCCAGTTATCCGGTCATCCATTCAACCAATCAAAGTGTAATATGCTAATGATATGATAAGGCCACTCAACCGCTCGCTTTGATGTGCACTGACCACCAGGAGGCAGAAGTCGACCAGTCGCTCCAACTGGTGGGTTAGCTTGATGCTGGAGTCCAGCCAATTGTGACTGAGTGAGACAGGCCGGACATGCCCTGGAGCCCTCCCGCAGCCCCTCCCCAGCTGACCAACCTCCCTCATCCCTCCATGGCCCCAATCGTGCACTGGTGGGATCCCTCGGCCTGGCCTGCTCCCTCACAATCCAGGACCCCTCGGGGGATGTCAGAGACCCGGTTTCTGCCCAACCCCGCAGGCCAGGCCAAGGGACCCCACTAGTGCACAAATTTGTGCACCGGGCCTCTGGTTAGGGTATAAAGAAAAGTAAACAGACCTCTGGTAATTCTCTGAGGAGTAGAATTTGGATTCACCTCCAGCTTCCAAAGGAACTTTAACAGAAGAATCCATCCCATTCCACTGTTCCTATTTATCTCCCCTTAATTTTCCATTGAATTTCTTGTCATCATACATTTTTTTTGCCCAATTTTATGAATATTCAGCCTTAGACTGTTTTGCAAAATAAAATTGCATCAAGTGATTTTCTTGCAAAGCAGGAGTTTCATCACTAGATGGTGCAGTGGTTCTATTTTTACTTTCCCTCTTTTTTTTTTTTTTTTTTTTGTCTTGGACTTTCTTACCTAAAAACCCATATTAACTTAGTCTGTACTTTTGTCCATTCTTACCTAAGATTAACTTTTAATGGGACAACATCATTTGTACTTCATACCCATAGGTTGCATCTAATGTTATCTTTTTCCGATAAAAGTACACATGAGAAAATTAAATAAGGGAAAAGTCAAGAGTGTCTACATGTTATCACTAACAAATTTAACTTTCTTCAAAGAATGTTAAAATATGGTGTTCAAGGTTTATTTACAAATCAGAAAATTACATTAATTTTGATAAGTTATTTATTAATCTGGATCTTGATTTATGTGTTTTTCTTAAATCTGTCATTCTAACTCTAAATGCATAATGGTTTTTATCTAATGTAATAGTTTATACTTTAGTGACATTTACTAGTAGTTACATAGTTGGTCAACTTGTTGGGATAAAAGCAAATACACCAACTTAACACAATCCTTGTATTGTGAGACTTGGTTTTAAGTTCTTGCTCTGCCATTTAATGTTTGAACTTGGCCAAGTTATTATACTCCCAGAATTGTCAGTTTTCCTCATCTGTACACAAGGATAATATATCCTGTTGCATACAGTGGGTGCTCAGCAAACGCTCTACTTTATCCCATTGGCCGCCTCTTCTCGTGCATGTGTGCACATAGAAGGATGGTGTAGTTCTGGATTTTGTTGTAAGTTTCGGTATAAGTCTAGATAACTCTATTTCAAAGTCAGCTGGATTCCATTTCTGTGCAGGTCACAGTGCATTTTCAGAGAGGACAGTTTCAGGTTTAAACTATCGAATTGTGTGCTGCACTGGCAGCAAAGTCTGTGGAGGGAATTTTTTACAAACAGACCTCAGTGGACAGAGCCTGGCTAGAAAACAGAATGGACAAACTTGCTCAGCTAGCAAATTCCTTGCATTCTTTAACCCTAATATGTACAAAAGGAGGAAGCCAAAGCAGCCAACATAAATTAAATCCACCAAAAGATGGCCATGACTCCTCTCCGCTGTGCACAGTCACCAACCAGCTCAGATCCTGCTTGCAAGTGGGCTTCTCAACTTTGTTTATTGCTCTGCAGAGACAGCCTATGTTTCGCACTTAAAGATGTGTTGCTGTTCTTTTCAGATCCAGGATTTTTGACCTTAAAAGCACACATCTCACTCCACAGCATGGTCTGTGGCAGCTGTGGAGACAAACATGCCCATAGACCAGCTGTGGGCAAACTACGGCCCGCGGGCCGGATCCGGCCCGATCGGCTGTTCTATCCGGCCCGTGGAGCCGAAAGAGCGGAGGGTTCTCTTGCTCTCCCCTCCGCTCCTTCACCAGCAGCAGTGTTAACATGTATTAGTTCACACAAACACTCCATCCATGCTTTTGTTCCGGCCCTCCGGTCCAGTTTAAGAACCCATTGTGGCCCTTGAGTCAAAAAGTTTGCCCACCCCTGCTATAGACTCTAGGTCTTAAAGAAATCAGGACTGAACTTAAGAGATTAGAGATGAGGACCAGATTTTCATATAACACCTCTCCTGTTCCTTTGCTTATTTTTTATGGTAATAGTTGTTGGTGGATGACTTTAAGATACAAGAAGACATGTGTTATCTCTGATGTGGAAAATAGGTAAAGAGATGTCTGGGAGATGTAGGGCTCAGGGAACAATTATGAGAGACCAGATTTGAAAGTCCCGTGTTTGTTCACTGAGTGGGGAAGGGGTCAGACCTGGGTCTTCTCCCTGTTTCTGACGCCCCTGCACGTGAGACCTCACATGTCAATTTCCTCTGTAATAAACATGGAAAGGGATTGGCTCCTTTTGTCTTCTCTTAAATGTAGACTGAAACTTTTAATGGGACAACATCAATATAGGTCTGTTATGTTCGTACTTTCCTGGGCCAGGGCCAGTGTGGCATCAGGAACTTGACATTTGCCAAACCTACTGTTGCCTTCAGATTTCTTGCTTGAGCTTTTGCAAGATGAATGAAAAGGGACGAGAATTTCAAATCTCAACCAAAACTTCTGGGTTTTTAAAATGAGTATCTTTAGGAAATATGCAAAGCCTATGTTATTGACAGGGTCATGCTTGAAACAATGTTGATATTGAACTTTTACTCTCAAACCATTTTCACATCTATTGTCTCATTTTATCTTCACAATTTGTACTTATTTGAGGGAAAATGTCCATTTTTTTTTCCCCCTTTACAAAGCCACTTACCTGGCTAAACACAAGTCTTTTATGAGACCAGGGCAGCTGTTTGGACAAATGTTAATAATTAAAAACAGACCTAAAAGAGACTCAGCAGCTTAGAACCTGGACCCAGGTAGTCTCCGGAAGCCTGAAGAGATCTCCTTGGAAACTGACCGCTTCCTGGGTAACCCATGACCAGCTGATTCTCCTGCCATTGTGCTTCGACTTAAGACTTCTTATGAAAGGACACAGAAAGGCCCAGATGTGTTCACATGAGATCTTATTGGGGAGTTAACCTGTTTTCTCCTACCAGGAATATTTCCCTTGTGATGGATGCCTTCAGTCCTAAGATTTACATGCCATTGTTGACAGAATGCTCATATCAATGGGAGTGCCATCATACTTAATTGAGGTTTTTCAAGATTTAGCTTAACTCAGCAGATTATTTATTTCATAAATAAAATAGCATGATTTTCAGAGACTCTTCCTTTACCTTAACTGGTTTAATGTACACCGTTAATTATCTGGACAGGAAAAGTTGCCAAGTCAAAGAAAACATTT